TAATTCGACTCTACTCATACAAATTGAATTCCTAAATGCAGCCGTGCGGATTGAATTCCACTTGAAGTTTCTTACAAAGATCCATGTTACATTCTACTCATTCAATAACACTTTTTCATTGATCGATTCGATATAATCAAATTGTATACAACTTTTCTATAATTATATCTGATTTCAGTCCTCAATTTTCATATATTATTATCTAAGATTACAGTAATAATCATTTCACAACCCTTTTGAAAAAAAATCACACCTTTTCTTGACCCATAACTGAAAAACAAAAACCCCCCAAGAAAGTTGCTTTTTGAGTTTAAAAGGTTTTCGAACTCTGTTTTCTCTTTGGCTTTCTACTCTTATTGTTGGAACATGACAGTGAAAAAGGCGGCAAATTTTCGAATTGTAGCTTCAAAATCAAGAACTTTTTTGTCTTCAATTTCTTGGATCTTCTCGGTAGCTCAGAAAGTTTAAAACTTTTCTTGCTTTTCTTTTCTTTCTCAGATGTGATAAACCGCTTGAATGATCTTAGAGGTAAAGGCATGGCAAGTCTCTACTCTTGGTCTTCGAAACGGTAAGACGATTCTCCTCCACCGTCAGATCTATAAATCCCTAAATCTTCCTCTAAATCTCAACCGTCCTATCTTCTGACAATTTTTGTTTGTTTGTTTGTTCAGGAGCTACAAAAATGGCTTTGTGTGGCACGATTTATCCGAAGACGACTTCATCTTCCCCGTTCAAGGTCAAGAATATGTTCTCAAAGGCTCTGAAGTTCTCGATTCTTGTCTCATGTCAAACCCAAGGAGCCTCCTCGAAACGACGTCGTTCAGAGACCCAAGATCTCTAAACCCAGAGAATAAAAACTCCGGCGATGATATCTCGACGGTGAATCGCCGGAGAAACCAGTCTTGGAGCTCCATCGATCTCAGCGAGTACAAGGTGTACAAAGCAACCGAGTCAAGCGCCGAGTCGACTCATAGACTCGCGGCGGACGCTTCTACACAGACTGACGATAGACGACGGAGGAGAAAACCGGCGAAAGAGGAGATAGAAGAAGTGAAAACTCCGGCGAGTTACGAGAACAATCAGAGCACTGAGACTGAGCTGAGCAGAGACGAGATTTCTCCTCCACCGTCGGATTCGAGTCCAGAGACTTTAGAGAATCTGATCAAAGCAGATGGACGGTTGATATTGCGTCCTAACGAAACCAGCAACGATCATCATCGGACGGTGGAGAGTTTATCGAGCGGGAGAATGAGAGCTTCGGCTGTTTTGATGCAGCTGATATCGTGCGGTACGATGTCGTTTAAAGAATGTGGGCCCGTTTTGTTGAAAGATCAAGGGCTGTCGTTGACTGGGCGTAGCGAGTGCACGGTAAGCGGAGGAGCAGGTGATAATAGTAGCGGAGAGAGGGTAGAGAAGGAATTAAAGAGTTTTGGAAGGGTAAAACTGGAAGATAAGGAGTATTTTAGCGGCAGTTTGATTGAGACCAAGAAGGAGGAACTCGTTCCTGCTTTGAAAAGATCTTCTTCTTACAATGCGGACAGGTAAGAAAACAAAAACAAAACTATTAATGCGGATTTTTAAAAACGTCAAGCTGTTTGATTCTATTCGTGTGAACGGCACGTAGTTCTGTTTCATCTTTGTTTTTTTTCCATGAATTTCCCGTACATACCAATAATTGGTAATGGCTTGAGTTGAATGAAGAGCTGAAAATGGTAAAAAGTATACACGTACGTTTTGGTTTGTCTTTCAAACGTCTCTTCATTATAAATTTTTGTTTTTAAAAAAAGTTCGTATATTTGAGGTTATATAATAATTGAATGATTGATAATGTGTTACTAGGAGTTCGAGGATGGGACCAACGACGGAGAATGATGAGGAAGAGGTGGTTCGAGCCAAGTGCATTCCGAGAAAACCAAAGCCGGTGGCTCCAAGGAGCAATGGTGGGCAGTAGTAGTAACAAAAAAGGCACGAGTGTTTGAAGAGAATGAAGCAAAACGGCGTGGAGTCTAACAAGCTTAGTTTTGGGTACAAGTGAGAAAGAAAGAAGAATAGGGAATGATGAGTTTTAAGCATTGTGAATTGTGTAGGTAACTATAAAAAATACTTATGCATGTAAGAGATTAAGAGTAATGGTACATATTTTTTTTTTAATGTTGTAGTTTGAGCCTAGGTGTCTTTTGATGTTAATTTCCTCCTGATTTTTATTTTATAACCTCAAT